TCAGATCCCGGTATTCCTAACAGAAACAAAAAAAAAAAAAAATAACAGTTATCATATCATACAAATCATCATTCCTTGCAGCTGCTCCAGCTGGTAAGTAGTAGGAGCCCTTGAGACTGAAATGGATCTCCTCAGAGGTTTGCATGTAAATGCATCTAACAATCCAGTCCACTTCTCTCTCCCTTCCTTCCACAATAGAACACACTGCTAAGTCTTACGGGCTTGTCCAAATCCACCTGTTGATTATATAATCCCTTGTTAGGGAGCGTTTTCAGTTCTCTTGCACACTTGCTTGACGAGTGTGGTGGAAATACTTCCAAGTCAGGACCACTATGAAGAGAGATGCTGAACCCTCCCCGCAGGACTGTGCTAAACCGTAAATTTTCAGAAAACCATTTCCAAGTGCCGAATTCACGTAGCGGCAGGCCCGTCGAACACTTCCAGGCTGGAGCCGGGGGATGCTCGAGGCATCGTTGGTGGTAGAATGGGGTTTGATGCTGGAGTTCCGTGATAGTGGATATCAATCACAGTGTCCCACATTCGGATCCCAGTCCCGGTACTACATCCTGAGACAAATAAATCACCTGAGACAAGCGAGAAAGCGTCCTCTGGATCTCAACCCATCGCCGCTGGCCAGTCGCATTTCAATCCGATGTGCGTTTGAGGAATCTCAGTTGGTATTGTTCCCTACAGCGGGTCATCACCACAGAGGTTCACTGCAGAGTAATCATACAGTATTCGGGTAAACTCTCCGCGCGGCAAGGCACGGTTCTGGCTTTTCCTGTTGTGTTATTCTTCTACAATCTACAAGTATTATACTTTGCCAGTGTTACTGCCTCTAGCCTCATTGACTCTTCTCCCTTGGGGGATAGGACCATTAACTCACCCACTCATTCCCAAGTCAAATCAAATCAAGACAAGCTACAAAGCCAGTCAAGTCCTCCCACAGTACCGCATCGCGGGTGCATGGCGGTTTACCGGGTATGGCGGAACCTCTAGTATCATACGCCCAGCGCTCACAAATATACACAGCCCACCCCTGCGAGGTATTCCACAGGATCAAACCAGGTGAAGCTATATACAGACATCACCGCAGTTTCTATCCCGTATTCTCCGGTCCCGGCTATCCGACGTTCAGCCAATACCCGGAAATTAGATACCACCCAACCTCGCCTTACAAACACACCACGACTGTCATGCTCAAGCACCACAACGGCACAAACCAAGCCCACCAATCTAACCTCACTTCGGATCCTGACAACGTCCATTAACTCGCAAGGCTTTGACCCAAAAATGCACTTAGAATACCGTGCTCGGACCTCAAGGCCACCGGGAGGTGTGGTCGTGAACATTCTTTGATTCACGCCCTGGCAAAGCACGCTGGCCTTGCTTACAATATTGCACCACGATACCCCACAAATGAAGGGGCCCTCTCCTCTTTTTTTATGCCCTTCCCTGCTACTTTCGATCCGGGTTGGTTTGGACAACCGCACCTCGACGGGCGGTCAATTTTATCTGAAGACCTAAATTGAATACTGTACCGTAGCCTCTGCCCGATACTGCGATTCCCCCATAGGATTAATTGGACAACGGATTAGAAGTAATCCATTTCGCAGTTTTCATCCTCACCTCGGGATACAAGACACTGCGATGGGCGCTTGGACCAATGACATCCAGCAACTATGACTTTATCACCGATTTCTAACCCACCAGCAGGACAAACAAGATAGAGGTATTAGTCGCTGGTAGAGGGATTCTCCACAAAACCGCTTGAGGAATTGTCGTTTTTTCCCTCAAAAGTTAGTAATTCTACACACCCGTACTCCCAGAACTTTGGATTAGGGGCCGGCAGGTTTGGTGAACCGGCACTTGGTGCAAAATGAGGATTGGATGGATGTCAGAAACGCGGATCCCCACAGCCACAAGAGGGTAGGAAAAGAAAAGAACAGAAAAAGAAAAAGGTATATATAACACAATGACGCGCCGTCAAATATTCGCTAAGTTAAAGGCTGAACTCCAATCCCTGACTTTTACTTTGAGCTATGCAGGAGGTGCGCAGGAATGGGAGCCGAGTCCGCAGAAGTATCAACTGCAAAATCACGTTGGGATTTATTATGCGGGGCCCTTTTGTACGGTTTGTGTATGGATACACTAGCGCTCACTCGGATGATTAATATGTCAATTCCTATGATATGATATTGCTTGTACTTAGTTACAGTACTATAGCACGCTAACATCCACGTCTAATCACAATCCCAACATCTCCCCGCACCGCAGACATTTCCGAAAAAGCTTACCGGTACCTCACAACACCTCTCCGATGCCAACACATTCCCATGCCAGGTTAGATTGGGACCCACCGGTTGGTAGAATTCCGTCTTTATCATTCAGTTAGTCGGTAGCGAGAAAAGCTGATAAGCTGAACTTTTCGATCTAGCTCTGCCATTGGGAATAGGGTATCGTACTCGTACGTTGTTGCTCATGAAGACGCACCGGGAATTGCGCCCTTCACGGGGAGTATGTACGACCCCACCCGGGAGTTAGTTGTGTACTTAGCACCTCGACTCTTATCGATGGGGGAGTAAAGACGAGGTGAGTGATGTGTCGTGAGCCTACCCCTCCTCTCTTCCAACTCCCCTTCACGCTGCGCTACAAACTCCGGCTGCAACCCCCACAGAATGCTATGGAAAACCCTGTGAGCAATAACTCGTGAACTCGCTGTGGTCTTGCTCTGTACACCAACCGGCGAGCATACCGATGCTCGGATGCTAAACTGGGAAGGATTCGGGGGTTTTTGAGAAAGAGGTGAGACATTGACAACAAGTACTGCACAGTGATGGGGAGGTATTTTGGAACATTTCATAACCGAGTTTTCGCACTTCTGATGGGATCGATAAAACTGCCGGGATCCCAGGGCCGTTGAAGTTAAATTATGATACTGAGCACTAGCTAGTGCCGGTAGCTTCTAGGGTACATGCACGCTATGGCCTTACCATGACATGTCGGTATCACAATTGGTGAGCATAGTGCAGTGCCGGTAATATGGAGGGTTGTGCAAGATCTGCTGGTATCATACCACATTTACCAGAATTCTATAGAGTCCCTGTGAAAACGCCTTGGTGATTGCACGTTTTCACCGCAATATCAAGAATATGATAGACAGTTAACGCAAAAATTGGAACAATAACCCAACAACAACCAAAGCTTCAATTGATAAGAGACAAAGATAAATGAAATACCGTAAGAACTCGTGAAACCCACTATCAGATTATGAGCGGGAATCAACCCGTCTGCCCAGGATAGGTTTAGTTCAAAATGTTGAAAGAATTCCGAATACCAGTTAACGAGGTCCGCCACATCCAGCGGGCTAATCCCGCTCAGGAGCGTTTGACGGAGGTAGTGGATTTCACGAGCTCTTACGGTGCAGAACCTGCCCTCACATATAATCGAAGGAAAAAAAAAAGGGAAACAATATAAGGTAGAAGAAAGTTCCTAATATCTAGTGGGCTATTTATTCCTTTTTCCTGAAAGACCCTCTGAGTTGATAACGGTGATGACGTTGACCTCTCTACAACCGTGTAAAAAAAAACAGAAATTGTATTATCCTACAAAAAATTAAGGGTATCATACGATACTAACTAATATCTCAACTATCATAGTATGATATCTCCCGGAACTTCTCATCTAAGAAGGCCTATAAATGCTGAAGTAATATTGTGATACTACTATGATAGAAAAGAAAAAAAAAGGGTCCACTGCGACGAACAGCCTGAGGATGGGTGTTTAGTCAATTGAATTACTTCTTTATATATATCAAATCATCACTGTACTACTTACTCACCACCTGTATATTTATAGACTATGCAGACATCTTGCTATGATATAAGCTTAGAGTACTTACTAAGGGTATTAGAAATGGAGATTTAGGCAAGAGCTTACTGTGCATATCTTATAAAGTAATTTATCTTGCAGACCTCTACTTTCACAACTAAGGGAATGTGGGATCCCCCTAACCTGAACTTCTACCCTGAAAATACAGATATCAAATTTGAATATTTATTTATTAAGACAATTTCTCCCCCCCCCCCTCTTTCCTCCAGTACTTAAACAGGCCGGGATAGTACTACTTCTTACTCATTGTTATGATAGATCTAAACATCTTATGACAATATAGTACCCTGTTTTAAAGGATTTGAAATTTTGTACAAAGTTATTTTACTATCATGGCTTGAACTTGAAGAGCTATGATACAAAATATTTAGCAGGTGAGAAAGGAAAAAAGAAAAGGGAAATATATAAAAAGGAACTAAAGTATAATCAAAATAATGTGGGTAAACTATATAATACCATGGTTGATGTTGTAATAAAAAAACTCTATGCCAATAGGCGGGGTCTGAGTCTGAATGGCTTGCCTCTCTTATCATACCATAGTATACGAGTGAAAAGTAATCACTTATTAATCATTCCACAAAGACCTTTGCATAACGACTTATAGTATGCATATTGCATAGACTATGCTTAGGCATACTTGATGAATCTTTAAGTTTATTATTAACATTATCTCACCGGCTGCGAGACACTGGGTCGGCGGGCAAGATGGAGTTAGTACTAACAGAGAAAGGTCTTATTCATTGTTGGGAGTTGATGGCAGAGGCTTCATTAAAAAGGCCGGCAGAGGCTGCCCAGCGGGGTTGATGGTGGGGAGTACGATACATACAGTACAATACAGTACCATCTCTCCCGAGCAAGAGGCGCGAAACAAAAGCAATCAAAACAAAACCAGCGTCCCGGAAACCAGACAAAGAGCTCCCCAATCACCACCATCGCACACCACCACCAGCACTTTTACCGTACCTGTACCGTGAAACAAGTGATAGGGCTCCTCCTAACCCTGCGGTCACACCTTCCCCTATCATACCTTCCCCCCCAGTCCCATTCGCAATCACCATACATCATTAGTAAAGATAACTAGACATTTCCCTTCACACCTCAGTTCTTCCTTTTTTTTTCTTTTTTTTTAACAATGATACGCCCACTTTAAAAATTGCTTCCACCATGAATGGAAGGAATGAGTAACATAACTTACTGATGGATGGATAGTTGAATATTGCCGCGTTCTAATTCCGGCTGCAGGTACGGTACCCGAGCACAGTGCTACAATACAGTGCAATAACTTGGAGGAAGAGGAAAGGATGCATGATGTAATGCGAACCTTACAGTAGCCCAAGCCCTTTGAAGAAACCAAGTTTGGTTTGGTTTGGGACGAAAAATATCGGGGAAATTTTCAGAAGCAAGCAAGCAATGAAATGTGAGATGAACGATACAAAAACGTACTTGTGAGCGAAAAAAGAAAAGAACAGAACAGAACAGAACAGAAAGAGTTAACGCCGCGTTCCCATTCATGATGATGAGGGTACTAGCTACTTTACTACTGCGTGTGAAGTCTGCTGAAGCTCGCTTCGACAAGACTTCTAGACCCCTCTCCATCCGCCGTTCCCGTCCAGAAGAAGACTCCACCAAGTCTATTATTCCTGGCATATCCCGCCTTAATCTTGACAGTGGCAGGGTTATCATAGCTGACCCAACCACCATCACCACCAACGCACCATGCAGCCCCCAAATTCTCGTCAGTGTACTCTATAGCTCCAGGCCTAGGCAGGTCCTTGTACTCGAATGTCCCCTCCTCGCCGGCGCTGCCAGAGTACTTTTGTCCGGGGTTGTGGCAGCCCAGGAAGCTCCTTCCGTACGCTGGTATGCCGAGGAGAATCTTCGAGGGTGGGACGGACTTGGACGTGACGTAGGAGACGGCGGAGTCGGCGGAGAGGCGTGCTGCCTCGTTGTGGGGATGACGGGGAGAAAATAGCTGGGCGTGATGACCCGATTGAGGAACCCAGGGTCCCGAAAAGTCGTACGTCATTAGATTGATGTAATCCAGGTACTGGTGTGCATTGCAGAGGTCGATATTCCGCAGCGCCCACTCACCTGCCGGTAGAGCAGATGTGAGGACATAATGCGGGGAAGGGAGATGTTGTCTGATGGCAGCAAGGAGCGCAATGTAGTTGTGTCCCTGCTTATGATCGGATGGGTGTTCCCAGTCGACTAATTTATCGCAGGGGCTCATGTCAGCTTTCGCGAGGTAAAATCAGACGTCGTGGGGAGAAGGAGTGATGGAGGGAGTAGTGGAGGGGTGGTATTACTATCTATCCCATCGAGTCCGTATTCGTTGACCAGCTCCCGGGCCGTGTGGGCAAATCGCTCCCTAGAAGCAGGATTCGCAGCCACAGCGGCAAAGTTGTCACTGCCCTTTCCACCGCCGCCAATTGACAATACCACTTTCAAGTGACTGTGCTTCGCCTTCAAATTTTGAAAGGATCTCAGGCAACCCTTCGTACCGTCAACATCAATCTGTGAATCCGCCCACTCATCACTCAACTACACCGCATCTATGGTCAGCAAACAAGTAAACGCTAAGGAGAATGACAGGAAAGGGGGGGGGGGGGGCTGGGTGGCACGCACATAGACAGTTCCATCCAGCTTCACCCACGCAAAAGAATAGAACACGTGAGATATCAATCCCAACTTCAAAGAACTTGGAGGCTCATTCCTATAGATCCTCCAGTTGGGATAATACACACCATTCGCGCTACAATGACACCAACACCTCACCGATCAGTTATCACCATCGCGAAGAAGGGCCGCGTAGTACACGAAGGGGGAAAAAATCTTCATGGTTGTAAAAGAAGATTAAGAACCTCACTCACTATATTCGCAGGGGATGACGATGTAGACTTCCTGTGAAATGATCCCCGAGAGCGCTGAAGCAAGGATGCGAGTACCACGGTACCGGGGGTGGGGAACGCGAACCGAGCGAGTGGGACATTATCGCTGGAATGGCAGAGGGAGATGGAGGCTCAAATTGTAAACAAATTACCGTACTGCAAGTTTCGAGCGAGGGAAAATGACCGGCGTCCAACAAAAGCAAACCCAAGCAAAATAGAAGGGAAAGAAGAAGGGGAAGTACCGGTAGAGAAGAACCCAAGGAGCAGGCAAACCCTGAGATCTCAACTTTAAAATGATGGGAAAAGGTGGGATAATCCGAGTTATATATACACCGCACGTAAAACGCCGCAATACCTTTTCCACTTGGGCGAGATTGGGGCTGACTCGGCCCGGCTATACCAGCCAGAGGATTTCAGTGTGATCCTGTAGGTTAGTCAGTATATAACTTACAAGTACTTTACACAGAGTTACTCCTCCTACTCGTACAGTGCCTGCGGTGGAAAGAAGCAACCTCAAACTGGTATGGGGGCCTCCCGCCTCCAAGCCCGCACAAATGCAAACACAAGAAAGCATCACACCGCGGAGGGGTAGCGAGCGGTGCATGTGAGATAAATGGATATCTTTGGCTTTCATGACATTATTACATGTTCAGTACAGACATTCCAAAGCAGATATATCCAGGACACAAGCAGAGTGGCGGGCTGCCATCAAATGGCACGATAGGTCAGGTATTGCATTGCCCTGAGCCCAACTGAATGCTGGGGTGTAGAAAGGCAGTAACAGCACAACCTCACCCTGCCGCCCATCCTCCCTCTTCCGCCAGTAAGGCTCCAGAGGTAACTATTCAAGTCTCCCAAGTGCTATTCCCTGTCCCCTCTCAACACTTCTGTCCAACAACGCTCTCCGGTGTCTCACTGCTCGAATCATGATTTGCATGGGGGAAGGAGCCGGCAAAAGGGTCACCACCTTGCCCTCGGATTGACGAACAAAACGTGTTCCTGCAAGAAAGTGTGCTCATGACACCCTACTAAAGTACTAGTACCGGTACTTTCTGTCCGACGGAAGTAGAACCTCGACCCTGCACCCCCCCTGGCTTGTATTCATGTTTTTTGACCACCTCTTTTCCAAAGGGGAACTGGTTAACAAATTCGCGGGTTCCCCCTCTCACATCACGCAGAATCAAGTTTTCACGCCAGGACTCGAAGTTGAAGTTGACAACTCTAGCAAGGAAGGTGTTGCCTCATCCACACTGCACAATGCACACGCGCACCCACACTCCAGGCTGGAGTTCCGGCCCAATTCCCCCGCGTTACCAAGAACTAGGGCAATTCTTGGATCCGGCACTGAGACGATGCGATATCCAGTAGACCGCATTGATTCACCATAACCCTTCTTCCCGCCTAGCGACCAACGATTATAATTCAGCAAGAGAAAACCTGAGGGAAAGGGGGGAGAAAAAATGGAAAACTCTCAGAATGCCCCCCGGATAGCGGCAAGGGTCCAATATGCCCAGCACAAGTAGAATGCCATCTCCGGCGTGGTTGTACGAGCACAGTACGGTACCGTACTCGAGTACTGTAGACTACTCCCCAGCCCCATAAGTTTCCGGAAATCGTGCTACCAAGACTCGCAGATGTGGTTTTCAGAGGCGCGCAGATCTCCGGTTACTGTTGGAATTGGCAAGCAGCGCACCGCATAGCAATCATCCCATCACTTGCTAGCATATTGTTCTGCTCGGCTGATCCAGTTTTGAGTGAAGTGGCGATCTCTGGGGGACCAGCACTATTGCTCACCAAATCCAAACCGGCAGTCTGTTTTATCAGCCGGGCCTTGACCGACACCCAAACACCAGTTACTTGCGCCTTGTTGGAAGGAATTGCATTTGATCCATGGGCCACAACTTTCACAAGAACTTTCTTATGCCTCGCTCGAAAGAATTATAGCTATTCCCAATATCTACCTGTGCGAGCACAGTGGTCAAGGGTGGGGTTAGTCGATTCACATGAGGCAATCAACAATTGAAAGAAGAAAAAGAAAATAATACACAATGCTCAAACAATCATGGAACGCTAGTAATGAAAGGCCAAAGTATAATAATATTGCACCTATGGATTCCCTGTAGACGAGAAGCTGAAATTTAATGGTATTGCCCCCCCCCCGGTCGTCAACTAACTTACATATCATAGGAAGCTACGGTACTTCGCACGCTATCTAACTCCAGTAAATCGTCCCATCATTCCACAAAACCCCTTCCGCGTGGATGTTGGAGGAAGGCACAGACCTGTGTCTACTGTTACTGTTCCTGACCCTTATCCCTCCTCGAGAGGATGAGCCCAAAACCTAATGCACGCATCCATCCATATATCCATTCGTCCGTCATCAGGCACCCAATTCCAAGCCTTCCTACCTTTGATCACTGCTCTGCTAGAACACACTACAAGAGCAGCTGAACAGGCTCCCCCTCTTCTATCAACCAATGTCCTTTATCCGGCTCAATTATTCAAATGTGCCTACGGTATCATTGCACGTAATACGAATATGTGGGGAATGGTGAGAGAAAAGCTGTACCGGTAGTCCATGCCTGTAAGAAGGCCGAACCCATGTCGGGCGTTCAGGGAAGGATACCGGTACATACATACCCGTTACAGCAAGACACAACCAGAATTGGTATACCGAGGGTGGGACACAGCACAGTAATTGCGGCGTGGACCGGCTCGAATTTGCCTACTCGATCCGACGACACGATGATACCCCAGGATCGATCAATGGATAACCTAGGATAATGGTCACGATACTCGAATGCTGTGATAGGTACGATAGTGTCACACGTGTGCTATTATCCCCTAGGCTGCTGAATCCTTGAAGACTTTGTGGCGCCCCTGTCAGTTTCTGAGACAAATATTAATAGGCAACTTTTCTCCAACAAGTTGACCAAAAGTTTCGCGGACGCATACTTTAGTCCATTGCTAATATTGGGTGTATGGCAGGCTGAGGGACTCTCCTTAGTCACCTATGCTTCACAAAATGACTGGGACAGCACAAAATTTTCACGGTTTCAGCAGTTCAGGAGATAACATACAACTGCTTTTTGTGAGAATAGAAATACGGTACCGTAAACGTTTCTTTTTTTCTTCTTTTTTCTTTCTTTCCCCGTCCCGATACCCGCGTCTGTGCATGACCGCTCTTCCATCGCAGCTAGAAACAACCTCCCCTCTTCCTCCAACAAATTTATTGCGGCTAACCACAGGTGAACTGCTGAACCGGCATAGGCCACCCCTGCCTCAACCGGGGGCGATAAGTTAGACTACAGTCACTCACTCTTGGTGCACAATCCATAACTATGCAATTTGCAATCTAATTATTTTATTTTGATACACATGCGTTATCAATTCACATTGCTATGTCCACACATGGATAGACATGAACACCCCAGAAGTGAAACAAAAGGGGGGTGCTTTGTTTCGGCTTCTCGCACAAATTATCTGCCCCATTCTCTGCGGGGGGATCGACAAAGTTTGTCGATGATGATCCGCAGCGGGTAGCTATGTCATAATACGAACAGGGATATGCCTTTACCGCTTGTACTCGTACAGTGATTCTGCCGGCAACTCCTTATTCGTTGCTGTATTTAGTCCTTCTGTGCCTTGAGATCGAGGGCTTGAAATGGATTCCTCTACAGGAGTGGCGGTACTGTACCAGCAATACAGGTTAGCTTACGCACGGGTTTAACTCTGGTATACCTTACTAGACTCTGCAGATCTAGTCGTGCCCGAAGCCATTTGTCACAAATGGGCAACTTAAACCCGGGATTCGTACGGCGCCCGCAACCCTCTACTCTCTGTCGTCTCGGGTTGGATGAGGTGGATAAGGCTCGGCCCAAAGAGAGATCAAGCCGTCAAAAGCGATGCGGTCATCGCACTTGGAAATAGTCAATGAAGAGTAAGGGAGAAATTCAATTCCATTGCAATGGATAAAAGCCCGACGATATCTTGCTCGCTCGATCCCTTCAATCCAAGGAAAAGCTCCCACTCCTCTACCGGTACAGCCCCCGAATACTGGTGATCCGCAACTCTCTCAGATGTCGCAGTGGCACACCGTGTCCTCGGCGTGTTCCGTTTCGGCCTCCAGCAGCAGTAGCATCAGCAGGTGTAGAACCTCCAACCATCGCCACTCGAAATTTACATTTCTCACTCCCCCATGAAAAAGGGAGAAGAGCGGTCAACAACCAAATCCCTCGCGCAAACCCAGACAGAGACTCCTACATATTCCGCCCCTGTCCTCGGTGGTAAGGTGGGGGCAGCACAACATTCAAGCGGACAGACAGACTCGCTAAGTAGAAAAGCATGGCCAGGAACTGTAGGTAATGTAAATCCAACGAACGATCCAACAAATGCCACTCCTGGCTAGCTAACCCCCAAAGACCGGGCCTATTTCCTCTTCTTCTCCCCGCAGTGAAAGAATAAGCTCAAGGGGCGAAATTTGCATCGAAGGTGAATGCTAGTTGCAAATTTAGAGTGGGACGGACGACTCTTGACCGGTTTTTTCATGCTCCCATTGGTGGTGTTTCGTTTTTTGGACATGAAGACTACCCACTGAATTCCGAACTGATTAAACCGTGCAGTTTAGTCTATGGTACATATTGTACCGCGCAGTACTTACTTTTTAAAGAGAAAAAAACAAAAAACAAAAAGCATAATACCCCTCACTTTCATGCCTCCTAGTGTAGGGCGAAAGAGAGAGGGAACCGAGAGTGCAGCCATTTGTGAACTATTATTAAAGCTTGCTTGAATATGCAGTGCTCAGGAAAAGGTGCAAGCCTTCCGCCGGCGCTCCATCTCAATCACATGCTCCAATAAGGCATGCAATACAGTGCAACTCTAGCAGTACTCGAGTATAGCTAAGAGCAGGCCACAATAACTATGCATTCCAGGAGCTGCTAGTCAAATCTCAGATGCCCACAGTAACAGGGCAACACAGCTGGCTCATACTTCATCGATTGTCACTCACATGAAGCAAGAGCAGGTATTGAAATGTCTCGCTCATCTATTCTCGATCTCGGGCACCGGTCCTCTAAGTAAACAGCCCTATAGGATCTTTTAGTGACATCTACAGATTATAAATCAGCCAAGCAATTGATCCAATAAGCTTCCCTAAGCATGGGAGCTCGCTCCAACGTCGAAGCGTCGAAGTATGGTTCATGCCATCCAAAACCTGCACCAGGATGCAACTTCTCAATCAATCGATTATATCCCACTATTGAGACCTTCCCATCAGTTCAATTCAAAAAAAAAAAAAAAAAAAAAAAACTCTACCTTATTCTCCTTAGTATTCCCAATAATTTACAGTAGAGGGTTTTCTTGAATCAATATTTTAACTTGGTGGAGGCGTATAACAAAATTTAAAAATGCTAACCCCTGGTGCAGGTTTTGCGTGGCACGAACTACACTCCGACTTCATAATATACTAGTATAATCCCCAACACTCGAATAAAAACCCAGGAGAGCGTTAACAGTTCACACCATAAATCCTCGTCAGAACAAACCCCTCAGCCCCAATCAATCAACCAACCAACGAAGAACCCCCCCCCCTCCTTCGTTTACCCCACCTCTTCCGCACAGTTCAATATCGTACAGTCCCCAAATCTCTTCCCTAGCGACACAACTTATCCGCATACAAACAAACCTGCTTCCCAGAATCATCCGAACCTAGACGGAACAGAGGGCGGGGACAGAATATGTAATATTATTATATAAAAACAGTCAACAGATCATCACCCCCACCCCCCAGTCCCCACCGCAAGTGAGAACCACGACAACTCCGCAACCCACCCTACTACACAAACCATCCGATACGCGCCGACACCAAACCCTGGACACTCACCAGATACTATACTTCCAGACAAACATCGCCGGAATCAACCCGAGTGATACTCCGTGCATCAACCTTGTACTTGGGGATTTCCGGTCCGGTTTTTCTTGGTGGATGGCGTATTGGGCTGGGTGGTGGGTCGGCGCGGGAGTGGATCGTTTTGTACTCGTATGGTGTGATGTCACGCGGTATTTCGTTCAGGCGACCTGTGTGGGATTTCCGGAAGGGGGAATTCGAACTTGGGATTCGACTCGAAAGAGAAAGGAGAGGAAGGGCGAATCTGACATTGTGCTATTAGAAATATCGCCTATTCTTTTGAATTTTCTCTACTCGAGCACCGAGTATTGGGAACGTCAATTGAGATTAGTGCCCCTAACCGACCCATTTCCCGGTCCAGGACGCTATTGCTTACCCCAACTAATCAAGGGAAAAAAACACGTTGTGCAGTCACTACCGTAATTGAATTATATCATAATTATAAAACTCTCGACATGTGTGACGATTTTTTATTTTTCATTAGCAGCAAAAGTAGCAAACGTGTAGCCCCAACCCGGTATTATGATGATGACATTGCGAGGCCAGTAATATTAGCAAAGCCTTCTGCTGTCCGCCCAATCGTAAACATGACCCCATCATCCCCCTGACACTAACATATAGGTTCCAAAGTCTAGGAGTCTCCAAAGACAGCTATAGCAAGCACCCACTGCAATACCAAGATATCCTCCACTTTGATTACTACTCTTTGCAGCTCATCCTCATTTCTTTTTGCCCCCAGGGCCCTTGGGAGGGTCCTTTTTTGTCAGCGTGGAGCCACTACCGCTAGCCGCTCCAGAATCACCAGTCAAAAGAGACTTGTCGAAACTGCTGGGATCAATCCCCAATATACCACCCTGAGCATTTCTATCGCCGCTGACGGAGAAGTCTCTATATGCGTACTTCCACTCATCCAAAAATGCCCTGACAGCCTTGCCTAGCTTATCCTTGTTGTTCTTAGAGTGATGGCCGGTGCCTACGATTGCGTAAAGTGGGCGGGTGCTTGTCTGGTGCTCGACAAGGATGTCTTCGAGATATTTGCATGCCTCTTCCGGGAGAAGACCTAATATTTCCAGTGGATAATATACCCGTTAATCAACTGTGACACAAACGCAATTCTAAAACATATAAAGGCAGGGGAGAGACCAACCATGCAAATCAACAAAGAGTTCTCTACCACTTGATGCACCTTTGTTACGTTCCTCATAGATTGCTTTCGAGGCCTCCTTGTGAGCTTTCATCATTGCAATATTCTCATTGTTAGCCTTGCGACTATGTTCTTTGGCCGACTTTGCGTCGTTCCGTTGCCAAGCCGAATTGGCTTGCTGGAGATATTTGGCTCTGAGCATTCCGTGGGTAAGCGCATCCTTACGGTGTTTCAGATAAACCCTATTGAGCGCGCTACCAGTTTCCATCCACGGTATCTGCTGCGGTGCAGGAATATGAGCAGCGGAGACGCGAGAGGACCGCTTGGAAGACGGAGAGCCACCAACCCCAGACCAACGATTTGAAGATGCGCCAGATGAGGTAGAGGTACGGTTAGAATGGGGGGATGGAGAAGGTGTAGCACGGACAACATCGGCCAAAGATGAAGGTCCTGTAGGAATATTGTTGCTGCTATCACTCCTGTTGTTGTTACGGCGTTTCTTGCCGTTCCCAGGCGCTTTAGCGCTGCTGCTCAGGGAGGGAAAGGCATCAGTATCATCGACCGCAGGCACCGGAGTAGAGCTCCTCTCCCTCTCGCGTGACTGTTGGCGAGAGTTTGGACGAGAGACAGGAAGTTTAAAACCGGGAGGTGGGTTGATGCCAGCTCCCAATACAGGCCCCGTTGCTCCCCATTGGTCAGAGGTCAACGCGGGGAAAGCGGTTGAATCATGAAACTGAAGCTGAGGGGGAGGAGTCGAGTTTCGACTGTTGTTGTCGATCGTCATCTTCGATACAGACATTGTCGGATCGTGGGAGAATATGCAAGTTTCTCCCGCGAGGCAAGAGCCCATGAGCCAATACTTGCAAATCGTGGTCCCAAGATCGTGAGAAAAGCGGCAGTCCGCACGAAGACACTGCCCAGTAGACAAGAAGAAGCGGCAGACAACACCATTGCGAGGGGTGACAGGCCGGACTGCTGGAACCGGGACCGGCATCGTAGATTTTCCAATGACTGTAGAACTCTCGGTGGCCCGACTTGCCGTGCTGTTGCCGTGCTGTTGTTCCATCAACATTGTCAATGTTGTGCTAAGATCATAACCGCACATCTCCAGAGCCTGTTCTATCTCCTCATCAGAGCGTCCTTCACCAAGCACCGACCGAAGCATGTCATGAGGGGACATATTCTCCTGGAGAGCGCTCCGATTGCCAAAGCCCATCGAATTGTCATCGCCCACCAACCAAGCAACTGTCTCGCTCCCGAAATCGCCGTAGACTTCCGGTGGAAATCCGGGGTCACTTGAGGATGAAGGTTCATAATTGTTCAAGTTCGGTGAATGAGGAATCAACGGGGAGGAGTATGCCAGCCTTGGGCTCGGCCTCGGGGAAGGAAAGGGGGAGCCTTTTCCGATAAAGGATGGCGAAAACCCCGGGGGCGCCATTGGGGGCGTACTACCCAATGAGGGTGTTGGAGTGCCCACTCGTGGAAATTGCCATGGCGCCGGGGACGCTCGTCTAACTATAGTATGGGCATGACGAATTGGCGGGGAAGAGGTTGAAGAAGTCTTTTCGCGATAACGCCAGAGCACATCTAGCGTTTCATTATCCAAGGGGGTACCCGTGAGATCTGTCTTTGATGCAATGAGAGCAGATACTTTTTCCGTTTGGTCCTCTTCGAGCAAGTTTGTGTCTGCAAAAATTGCGGAGATAAAAGATTAGCGAGAGCTCGGCTGGTTGCTGAATGCGGAAAGCCAAACCTTGTAGAATAAGACGACACTCCTCGAATAGCTCGTCCGAGATCATTGTAGCCGAGAGAACAGGCTACTCAAGCACCCAGGTAGCCGAGTATTAGCAGATCGTCGAGTCTGCGAGTCGTGGGTGAGGCAGATAGCAGGGAGGAGGTTCCAAGAGAAGTGGGCCAGGATGAACACCGAGTTGTAACGAGAATTTGAGGAGATAGTAGGTATTGCAACTCTGCCACGAGGCAATTCAATGGCGCACCACGGGCAGGCAAGCCCAAAAATTGTAAGGTATGATGATGATGGGTAAAAAAAAAAAAGGTAGAAATGAAAAAATAGAAACAAAAATAGAAAGAAAAAAATCGAGGAAAGGGGTTTAAGCTCTAAAAAAAACAAAAGAAGGAGTGGAAGGAGAAAATAGAAATACGGTACCACGAAGCAAAGAGAAAAGAAGGGGTAAGAGAGGTTTGGGGAAGGGGGGGGAGTGGGGGGATGGGATGGTTATAGGTATTTTTCGAGCGATGAACTTGGAGAGGTATGATAGGGGGGGAGGGGGGAGAGCAGGAGGGAGATGAATGATGGATGGGGGTCGGGTCACAGCTTCCTCCAAGTCAGTGGTATTGAAGCGCTTTCTCACTCTCACAACACCTTCCTTTCCACCTTTCCAGCCTTTCTCTCTGGGTCCCCCAGCTCTTCCAGGATGAGATAGGAAGGGCGAAGTGGCCGGGTGCTGCCGCCAACAACATCCCAACTAAACCCACAGTAACAATAGTGCGATCAATGGTTGAGCTAACCTCTCGTAACGATTGCCATGCTCACTAGACTAGGCATTTGAACCTGAAAAAGGCCAAGTATGAGGATGGCTGCAACTGGAACAGCTGCTAATATAATCATCCCCAGCCCTTTACCTCTTTCAACCCATCAGTAAGTAGCCTTCAACTTTATGTAAGAGTATCATGCTGTAGGCTACCGGTACTGTACAGTACTGTGCTGTACTCGTACTCGTACTTGTACAGCTGTGATTTCATGCTTTCATATTCCTGGTCGCCTGGATCTCCGCTTTCTCCATTTGTTGCACCCACCGCATTATTCACACTATTCTACAAACCTTTCTGCCCACTCGAGTATGATACTTCACAGCTCAAGCTGAGAGATTACTCCATTGGCTCAACGCTTCAATAATTACAGCCCCTCTATCCATCCCCTCCTAGCCCCGCAGCTTATCCTTTGGCCATCAACTTCGTTCAGCGGAGGGGTGTTGCCGGAAATATTGTGCAAATAGGTTCTCTCCATCCAGAGTTCTAGCTGTAAGCTTATACCGTATTACCATATCGTGGGCCTCCCACCTGTCGCTGCTGTTACCTTGCCCCACTGTAACTTGTGACCCACTTGCCCTGCCAGACAATCAGGCTCGTTCCAAGGGCAGTGTGGCCCTCGAAGTACCTCATTATAGATACGTGTTTCATCCTCCACCACCATCCTCCTTCCAATCATAAACCTCCGGCTCGATCAGGTTCACTTGTTTCTTTAAACCACTTCGCTTTCTCTCGTCTCTCCTGCAAAGTCCACCCTTCATTGGAGCTGATTTCACGCAAGGCCACACAAAATTCTTGCAGAAACCCCCCAACCACAAATCATAGCTGCTTCATAATCAATCCTCTTTTGAACCGTTAACTGTCCGCCCGATGGAATTATGAATACGGCCACGCCAAAACCCCAATAACTTACAGGGATGCCCCTAGCTCGAATACCGGTACTGTACTCTAAACCCCCCTCGTACCGCAGCACAAGCAAGAGAGAGCTTGAGAGTGAAGGGAATGGGAGAGTAAAGAATGGAGACACACTTTGACGAAACCTTTGCGATCCACTAGTACTGCTCTGTGCGAACTTATGATATCCGAGTACTCGTATAGGTACAGTATAGTACTGCATAGTACTGTACATATTTGGAGAAACAACTCACCAAGACGACACACACCCCGGGTTCGCCGGCAGTCAATTGGGACAATTGACCCAGATGGCGCGACGTTATATATATAGTTCCCTCGGCAACCTCACAGGGCTGCAGGAGGAAAGTGAATGTGAGCGCAAAACGGAAAGATGGCTTGTAGAGAATAATTGTAGGGTAGCGGCATCGATAGATCAAATTCCCATTTTATGGCCATGGCGACTTCGCGCTGCACGCGTTCTTAGACCAACCCATTTAGAAGAGGGGCAT